ATTTGCTGAAGAAACAACTACAGATACAAGTATTACAACTGATGATGAAATCTTATTTATGGGTGATGCAGGTAAAAATCTCCCAATTATACAGGATCATCCACGACGACCTTCCATTAGAACTATATAGAGAACCAAATAATGTGGGGGTTTGAAAATTTGTGAACTTATGATGTTTGATACGATCTTTATATTTAAATTTCCTGCTCTTTCTAATGGCGTATAATACGCTGCGATCACGCGCATGCCCAAGTACGTTTTTATCCAAAAACTTTTAAACTTACACGTTTTAACCACTTTTAAACCTTGTTGGGGTCGATAACATTCTTATATAACCAGGAGAAAATTCAAGAACCATATCTATCATATCGAAAATTTTCTGCTCTTCACAATTTCTGCAATCACGCGCTTGCACAAGTACGTTTTTGGCCAAAAACTACTAAACTTACACGTTTTAACCACTTTTAAACCTTGTTGGGGTCGATAACATTCTTATATAACCAGGAGAAAATTCAAGAACCATATCTATCATATCGAAAATTTTCTGCTCTTCACAATTTCTGCAATCACGCGCTTGCACAAGTACGTTTTTGGTCAAAAACTACTAGCGTTATGGATTTTTCTGTTCTTAGTTAAGTCCCACTTGTGATTGTTCAGGGTCTGTCACGACGAGCTGAGTCTGTATGTATGGGATGTAATCACAAAGTCTCCTTATTTTTCTGTGTATAATACGCTAGTGAGGGAAAAAGTGAGTGGAGTTGTCATTAAAAAAAATTAACTTTTTGAGATAGGGAAATTTGACGCACATTTCTGTATAACTTAAAAAAAATTCAAAGATTATGTAAACTATGGGTTATTAATAATTCTTATTAAATTAAATTGTATAATTATTATTAAAAGACACCATTAGAAAAAGCAGAAAATTTTCGATGAGATGATTCTAGAGTTCTTCCCTGGTCATATAAGAAAGTTGTCGACCCAAACAAGGTTTGAGAGTGGCTAAAACGTACGAGTTTAGTAGTTTTTGGCCAAAAACGTAATTGTGCAAGCGCGTGATCACCGCGTGTTATAGAAAGTTGTTTAGAGGAAGAGCAATTAAGTGTTTCTGCATGTAAGGATGTATATTAAGGGTGATTTAAGCATGACGATAGATATTGATAAGGTTTTAAAGAGCATGGTGAAATTTGTCAAAAAAAAATCTTACAATCAAAATAACTCGAAAATGAAATACGCTAGGTGCCAATAACACTTATGAAAGTCAACATATTTTTTTACGTATAATTAAAAGGTATAATAAAAACTATAGCATTTCATTTAAAATAACGAAGTTATGGTCTAGTTCCGGTAGACCGGAAGCTGGATGCTACCAAAATTTCAAAACTGTACAAATAGTGTTACCTAAAAAAGTTCAGTTACGTGGGACACCTGTATACATGTAGACGATTGTCGTGGATTATTCTGTATATATTTTTGGTTATTTAATTTTTTAATTTTAGAATTAACTTCGGACCAAAAACGTTCCCAAACATTACCAAACAACCAATCTTACACTCATTTTCACGTGCGATCTTTATCCGAGTCAAGAACTTATGATGCTATAACTGGTGTTGATCATAAATATTCGTTTTCAAAACGAGTGGGCGGGGGCGATGTGAAACGAAGGGAATTATCGGGAACGGAGTCGACCTCAGGGGTTGGCTCAAGTGAATCCGTTGTAGGAAAAAATATTAGAAAGTAAGATTAGTAAACGCTTTTGATTCACCTTATCATTTTAATTAATTTTAGTGATCGCACTCAAACTTTAAGCCCGATTCCAAGCTCATCTAGTCTGCTTACTTTGAAAACGGAGAGAAATCGGAGATATTCCGAGTCTTCAAAACAACAATCCATATTAAGTAAATAACTAAAAAAAATACATAATTGTAATTTGATTATGATCGGTATTTTAAGGTATTACCCCATCGGATAAATCGACGGTTTCACCGCCAAGTAGTAGTTGTGGCAAGCCGAGTTATCAAGATTTAAAAGGTTATCGAGAACTAGCTCGGCTCAAATATCAAGATGAACATTCCGATTTTCTTCGACATTTTCAATACCGTTTTAGCACGTTACGAAGTGACAAAACAAGCGGAGGGGGAGGTTCGTCATATTCGACGAGTACAACTTACGATGAATATATGGAAATTTTCGGTGGAGATAAAAGATCCACCGAATTATATCGACGACCCGTGCGTCACGATGAAAAACATTCGTCTCGAAGAAAACGGTGTTATATGGGAATTTGTCTTCCATTGGAATTGGGGAATTTATTTCCAGAGAGTAGAAGTTTAGGTAGAGGGTTGGTTCGAAGTGGTTCAGGTACAATATAAGAACGATATTTTGAAATAAGAATTGATTAGAATTAATTTTATAGAAAACGGAGCTGATACAATGATTCGAAGAAAAGTTGATATAACAATCCATAATAAAAAATTATGTTTTAAATGTTCACAATTAAGAAATTTAAATTTAAGTAGGTCATCGAGTATATTTAAAGGTAAAATTAATAATTTGTAATAAATTTCATTTACCACTTCATTTTTAGCTCAAAACCAATCCATGTCAAAATCGGAAGATGAAATCATCGTCGATCAAGAAGAAGCGTTAAAAACCGAAATACTCCTTCAAATCGAACGTTTAGCAAACCCGTTATTTACAAAATCAGCTAAACAAACGTTATTATTACAAAAGCAAAAAAATCCGGATATTTTTAAAGATATGTGTCTGTATTCGGACGTTTGCCGAACGGTTTCAGAAAACGTATACCGTTTAGGACCGAGGCGAATTATTCAAGAATTATTTTTGGATGTGGCATTCGATTTTACGAATACCGACGTGGATGCGATTTTAGCTAAAGAACGGAATTATTACGATGACGTCGTGGTTGGTGGTTGTTGTTCCTTGGTGGTCTCGGCAACCAATAAAAATGTAATTAAGGGTTTTGATGTCGTAACGAAACCGACCGCGCTTAAAGAGGCGACGATCACCGAGTGTTCTACTAAGACTGAAAACGTTCCCGTAACTATACGAACCTTAGATAAGCTTAAATTTACTTATAATGAGAATAAATTTCCTATTAAGAATCGAAATGATGATGAGAAACAAGTTATTAAATAATTATTAAAAAAAAATAAGATGAAAAGGAAAAAAAATAATTTTTTATTTTCTGTTTTTATTGATTATTTTTTTTAATCCTTTAATGCACAAATTTGTCTAAATGTATTTAAAATCGATTTTATGCATGATTTAAGCATCATTGATTAGTGAAATTCAAATAAAACAACCTCCAAAAATTTACTTATAAACAAAGATTTTCTATGCAAATCAACTTTTTTTACCTATAATTTATTAAACAATTTTTTAAATAGTTAATGTGCGATAAAGGATTAAAATCGAATCCACTAAGTGCAATACATAAAGAGGTATGATTGATGTTTGTTGTTAAAAGAAAAATTTTTAAAATAATATTTTAAATAAATGTATGATGTTGACAAGAAAATGAATAAATAAAATTAGTTGATTAGTTCATTCCAAGATTATTTCATTCTGCTTTTATAATTTTTTAAACATCTTTTAATGCATTCGTCATATCATATTGTTTATGTTTTGCTGAAACGGTTGTCCCTATGTAGGGGTAAACAAAAAAAGAATTTAAAATTTTGTTGTTAATTTACACAACCAGTATAACCAATGTTCCTATTTTTGCCGATTCAACAAAAAACAATTACTAATAATTAAAAAAAGATTAAATAAAAACTTAATGAAGGGTTACACGAGCTATATTTATACATACAAAAAAATTATATATTGCGTATACATAAAATATATCAATTTTAGAATATGTATTTTTTCCTTCTTTTTCTACGTTGTACGCCCATTTATTACGAAATGAACGACGGTTATTTATTTGTATTTTTTAAGTTATTTATTAACATTTTTATATTTATTTGTATTTAAATAAAAAAATGAATCTAAACAACTTTTTTATTATTATCGCATTCACTTTCAAACTTTAAATTAATAGTTGCCATGGTTACGACTCTATTCATATCAATCACCACCTCCATCTATCAATGAAAAAAGTAAATTAAAATATTTTCCTACAATTTTAATTAATTAAATCTTTAAAATGCGATAAAAAGCTGACATAAAAATTAAATAGATTTAATTAATTTTCTTTTTCAGTATTAATTTTAAATACTTTAAAAAGTGCTCAAAAAAAGGCATTTATCTACGTAGATCGGTTAGATTCCTTAACTAGGCCGGAAAATATAGAGGAAATTTTAATTTTTTTATTGCTGGTAACTATAACATCAATTTCACACAAAGTTGATGTTAGAACAATTAACCTATATTTAGCCGATCATTTAGGATAATTATTGAGCATCGATTTAGAAAATATCTTCCATCAAAGTAGTTTCCAAAGGCAAAGATTAATATCTAGAGAAAACATCAAAATTTGAAAATAAAGCAAGGGATAACGATTGGATCTCTGTCCTTGAAGGGTTGCCGTCCGATTTTCACAAATTTCAAAACAGCTTGTTGGAAATTTTTGAACAATGTTTTCCAATTGAAGTAAGAAGGTGGGAAAATGTTGCCAAAGGGCCAATCAAATGATGGTCAAAGGAATTACGCTAAATGAAACATACTTTAGAAGCACTAGGGGTTTTTAATCAGGTTAAGAAAGATCAACCATCATTAGATATACAGGATGTCCCGTATCTTCCGCATCAGAGCATTATACGGTTGTAGGATACATTATTCTGATGCGATCTTTCTAATAAAATTTTTTCGAAATGTTTATAAT